CTTCAAATTAAGTGATCTTGAGTGATCCAAGCTCTTACACATTTTATCTGCCATTTATTTTTAGAGATCTCCCGGCAAAGCCTATCATGAGAAGTTGTCATAACGTGCATTGGTTTTCTTACTAGGTCGTACTGCTTCATCATTTGTAAAGTTTCGTCAAAAATTGGTTTCTCAGTTTGTTGAGTATTGTCACTGCAAGAAGACGAATGCTCAACAGAAATTCCTTGGGGTGGATTGATTTTGAGCCGAGAGCAACTGGGCTAAAAACCTTATTCACTAGCTCTCGATGAGACCGGCACATGAATCACGTACTCTCAAATTTTGATTCAGCGTCATTGAACTTCCCTTAGCGCCACCTCCTTGACGATTTTATTATGGTTGGTAGATTTGAACCAAAGTGACTAGAAATTCAGTCGAGATGTAGCAGGAGACCAGTGATGCACTTTCACAAGTTGCTCAGAATACACGGGTGGAAACATAGAGATTGGCCAGGAAGACAATGTCTGACATCTGCAAAGATGGAAATCGGAACCTGACGCCCTTCTCAGTGAGACTACAGTAGACGTGCTACCAAAGGTTTTTGGCAGGCCATGAGAAATAGGGTGTGGAGTGAAACGTATACTGGGACGATAACCGAATGAAATCAGTTAACCAGAAAGATAAGAAACGAATCTCCGGGGCATGTGGGAGATTCGGAGAGGTGGTCCGAGTCGGATCAGCAATTCCGGTAGATCGAGAGGGAGGGTAGGTGGGAAGGTAAACAAACAGATGTGATAGCGACCCAATAAACTCGCTAAAAACGGCACGCCTCCAGAAGATTGGAATATAATCAAGTCATAAGTTGTGATATGGTGGGAGCGAGATAAAAGGGTAGGGTGTAGGTAGGTGTACCAGGACAAAAATAGCAGTGATAGCACAACTATTTGGCAGGAAGTTAAGCAAGTGATTAACTTCAAGTGTCTCTTTGACAGGATGTAGCTTTGTGCTTAGAATGACAAGACTCACCGACGATGCCGACTACGGTGCAGGCAAAGCGTCCAGCGTCCACGATAAGACGCTGGGAATCATCAAAACTACTTCGGACAGGCAGTGCCAAACTAAGTCGTCTTGACAACAATTATAAGTTCAGAAAACGAATTCAGACCAATTCGGTTCATTTATCTCATTGCTAAACTTGGGCGATTTCATCTTAATTCGTCTTATTAAGCTTCATTTCCTCAAATGGCAGTATTAATAATAATAAAATTATTTACGAGTTTTTTTATATATTCATGGCACTTCTACGCTACTATGCAATCAATGGTTGAGAGACCATATCATTTAGGTTCTAATTACTTTTATCGTAGTTAAATAATATTATAACTTAGTTTTTGATCGTCAATGTACATTTAAATAAGATAGTCTACTTATGCGTTCAAATGTATGTGTGTTGCGTCTGGTTGACCTTGCTTCCGGTGCCCTAGCTAACTTCAACTCAGAGCCCAATTCACACAAACTCAACTTGTTCGTCCACTTAACCTTTCCCGCTCTAGTGACACTAAACGACCCCATACATGCGCGTGGGTGCACATTCAACGAGCTTCCTTTTGTAAGCATGCCTACGCATGCGGTTGCAGGGGCGTAAGCAACATTGGGGTCATTGAGGCATCCAGATGGCTCAGCTCCGGTCTGTCTCGGGATGATGTTATCGCCGGGTTATCTCCGGACTCTCCTTTAGTCGAGGCCTCCCTACAGGAGACAGCTTAAGGCCCGTTTTTACTGGACTCCCTCTACCGATTTCCATTCATCTATCCATCTACACTCTTTTACCAAAGTTATGCAATGAAAACATTTTACCGCCCTCATGGGTCCCTTTCACAGCCACCCCGATCCCGAATTCCCACGCCTCTTGATCTAATACAGATGGCTGCCTCTGTGTGCATGACCAGCTGGCAGCCTCGATGTCACCATCTTCAAGTCACATGGATACGCTACTTAACCCCTTCTTTTACCCACTCCCTCCACACCCAACAATCCACCCACTCGCCCACATCCCAATGGCGGTTCTGGTTACATGGGCACACATGTATGGCCTGCCTCGAACCCTATTCTCTCCAGCGGTGTTTTATAGCTCAGCAGGCCGGAAGGCAAGTCTATTCGACGCCTGTAAGTCTGTGGGTCGAGGTCCAGTAATGTTGGGGAGGAGAGGTTCATTTCAGGGAGAGAGTAACGTTTTGGTCTGCGTGGTCGAACAACCAGAAAACAGGCTACATGTAGCCGCTTGCTGGCACCGAAGCGCGTCATGATAACTCTGGCTAGAGTGTGAATGGTGTATGTAATAGGGGAAGCATGTAAGTTGGCCAAACGAACACTCTGACGGATTGAAAGGATGCTGTTTTGGTGCGTATAGGCATATATGTGTGTGTAGGGGCGCGCTATATGTAAAATATGAAGTATGGAGTGCATAAAAATGGTGCAAAACGCAGGTTATCAACAGATTTGAAGAAATGTACGTAAATGCCCCACCTAAGGACCATCACATGCTTGAATGAATTAGTCGAAATGGACACGTGCCGCCCACACCTTCAGACCTAAGGCTGCCACGGTTACGTATTAGGCGTGCACACCGAGAGAGGAAAGAGGAACCACATTTAGGGGATTGGACATGCTGTTATCAAGCCTTAAACAGTATGTTATATAATGGATACAAGATGTTTCCCACGTTTTTATTCTCCACCCTCCCATGCCCAATAACTATGATCGTAGTCTCCTACACCAGAAGTTACATCGCATTTTTTTGAATTTTATTCCGACAACTCTCCCTCCTTTTGCTCGTGTTTTTATCTCCTAGGCACAATTACCCCTAGCAATAGAGGCGGCGCGTCTAGTTCGATGAACACTCAGCATCCTGAATCAAGAGGTCATATGTATGAGTTGGCATAACGAGGGTAAGCAAACATTGTGCACGCACGCAGATGTAGGCAAAAGCCTAAACACCCCTGCTTTGAAAGGTGAAAAAGTGAATTCACACTTTATTAGAGGAAATGTTAACTGCTAGTTTGCGGTTTGAGTATCTAGGCGGACTGGTGAGTCTGGCTACCCGTATTCGCAGTACACAAGAGGTAGAGAGAGAGATGGGGGGTTAAATAAATTTTTTTGCTCACCGATGACAGTGAGTGCTCAAAATGATATGGAATCAAGGAATACATATAATGTGCCCCATTGGATGTTACGCCCTTTTGAAAGGGGTCCAGAATGTACTGGTTCAGATGTAACCCTCAGATAATCTCGTTCTAAAGAGTTTACAACAATGAAATTTGGATACAGAAGTGATGCTCATTCTCGTAAACACCATTCCGCATTACTCGAACCTATTATTATTGAGGCTGGAAGCGAATGTTTATAATTTCCCCATGATCACCGGTACTCGAATAGGGAATTAGAGGAAATTTACCCGGTACAAAGATCGTATATGTAGTTTGCTCGTACCAGCCGACCATGATTATTCAATTGCAATATCACCATGTCATTGAATCTTTCCCCGGTTCCAACTACACAAGGACAGATAATTGGTAAATACTTCACAAAGGGGAGA